TTAATACCAACCTTAATTTTTAATTTTTTTTTATTATATTTTTGTTTTTGTGACAAATATTAAGACATTTTATAAAAATTAAGAATATGTCAAAATGACATTGACATTTCAAACCGGAAGTTGCTTTTAGTATATCTCGACTAATAATTGAATTAAACGTATCATTGAACTAGAACTAGTTTTGTCGTGCATCTTTTAAGAAAAGGTTTGACGTTTCGGATGCCATGTTGCAACCTTCTTCAGAAACTGGTTTCTATTGTTAGTTCTAATTTTAGTTCAATTAACTCCGGCCGTGAAAGCCTTCGTACTTAATAAACGTATCATGTTTCGACTTATTTTAAAGGATTTTTCACGACGATTACAAATATGTCAAAATTGACGTTGACATTTGTAACCGAAAATTGACCATAACTTCATTAATATTGAAGATAAATATGTCGTATTTGTACTCATTTTAAAGGATTTTTAATGAAGATTACAAATGTCAAAATTGAGGTTGACATTTTAAATCTGAAGTCAGTTATCATATAATAGACAAATGGACAACTTCATAGTGTTCTTTCATGATGTATTCTTTATTAAAAAGAACCATTAAAATGAGTCCAAACATGATGTTGCTAGATATTACCATGTTGTATATTTTTATTGCACTAAAACTAGAAGGTCCTAGTTCTAGGTCTAGTGTTAGTTCTAGTTTTAATTGTTAGTAAGCGTTAAATTGTTGCCTGTAAATACCCGGTATAATAGAAATGGCGGTTATTTTAAGTCAACAAACACTTACTTTGTTTAGGTCAAAAAATGTAAACAAAGTATATAACCTAGGCCTAGAAAGTTTGGGGTTTAGCCAAGTTAAACAGGCTTTTATTAAAAGGTTAAGTCATAGTTATAAATAAATAAATTTTTAAGTAGAATCACAGATTGTTTATTGAAAACAAAATAATTTTTTTAAAATAAATTACAATTGGAAAAGAATTCATTAAATTAAGTAAAAAATAAAAATAAAAAAATATAACATAGTTTCAGGCAGTGTAAGTCTGTTAATTGTTTCTTCACTACTTATTACAATTTTATTATTACTTATTACGTTGTCGGTACATTAAAAATTATGTTACGCTTAAATATTAAATATTACATATATATAAATTATAAATAAAACGAGCGATCTACAAAGTTTACAGGTTATCTTCCTAAGAACGAAGCGTGGCAGCACCTTCACCCAAAACCTCTCCCTTAGAAAAATAACCTATATTTCTTCTATTTTCATTATTAAAAGTGGGGTTTGTTTGTTTAAGAAATGCTTTAAGAAAAATCGTAAGAAATTTGAGCTTAAGTAGGTTGTTTTAGGTATTATATATTATTTAGATCGAGATAGAAAAGATGATTTCTTTATAGGAACGATTGGAAAATAGAAAACTACGCTTTTCTTTCTAATTCTTTTTTGTATCTTCCTAAATACTAACCGCTATAAGATTATATACAAAACTCTATCATAATATGAAAGTATTTACACGTGATAATATAGATCTTAACTTTTTTTATTAAAAAGTCTTTTATATTTCATCATTTTTTAATTAAAATTTAAGTCTTCAAACATTTTTAACCTAAATAATTTTATTTATTCAATTTATAAATCACATTTTCAATAATAATTAACGTTTCAATACACGCGCACTAATATATTGTTGTTTGAAGACGCACAGCTAAACTAGATTTATCTAACGTTAGAGACGTATGGCTAAACCCAAATGCTTGTAGTTCTAGATCTAATGCTAGTTCTAGTAACAGTGCTAGTGTAAAACTAGAACTACCACTAGACCTAGAACTAGAAAGTTTAAGGTATAGCCATGCGTCTGAAAACTTTATTAGTTCTAAGAGTCTTCAGAGATTTAATACAAAAAAATAAATAATAAAATTGGTATAACCGGCGTCCATTGATATTTTGTATTGGCGCGTGTATTGGAAGGTTAAACTATTATATATTTTTTACTTGATTAAATCATAATTATTCTTTACTCAATAATTAAGGTTAAATCGTTTTTTCTAACTAATTATTTAAACGAACGATGAAAATCCGGGTAAAGGCGCTCGAGATCGTGCCATATTATTCATTATAATTTGACCACCGTTCAAACTTACAACTGCACTTCCTTCCGGTTCGGAATCCGTGTAACTGGAATAATTACGAACCGGTTTTTGACGCTTCCATGACTGTCGAAGCGTATCATTAACGTTCGCGTAATGATTTACAAATGAGTGAGGATCTGATCGGACGCTTTCATTTTCACTTTCAGAGCCCTAAAAAACACATTCAAAATGAATACATTTTGTAAATGGAAATCAAGGTGCTATCATCATGCTTATGAAAATAAATTTAACTCATTCAACTTCAAACCATCTAAAATGCCAGTTATATCTAAAAGTACTTTCAAATTCTACAAAAATACGTGATTTTAAATGATAATAATGATGATGATTGTAAACAATTGTCATAACAAAGTGTTTGGGAAATTAGTATAATTAAATTTTGTTGTTGGTGCAATAAACGTTACTTACTTTGCGCTTATAACTGATATTTCAGATTGCTAAGTTCATGGAAAGAACATTTACCAAAAATTAACCTAACATTAACTAAATTATGTTAAATACAATTTATCTCATATAACACCAACTACACCCAACCCCGTTATATGTTTTTTTTACTATTTCAATACATACCGAGAATTTTATATAACTCGTAATATATGAATGCATTAACCATAGTTATGACACTACTATGCACCACATAAAATGCAACATATCTTAGTACAGGCAGTTTTGTAAAGGAAAAGCTCAAACACACCTCCAAAACGCTGAGTTGTTTTATAGCGATTTTAAGGAAAAGTCTTTAGAAGGAATAGAAAATGAAGAAGAGAGTTTTATTGTGCTTCAAAAAACTCACATCCGATTCATTGGCTTCTGCAGAGCTGTCAGTAGCTCTTCTGAGGACGATTTTTGATATTTTTTACGTGTTGTTAAAAATTGTTTTGTTTATTTTGTTTGATAAAAGTGTTTCCTCGCCTTTTTTTAAATAATAAAAAGTTTTGAATGTTATTTGATCCTTTCTCCAACCTTTCCCAAAAAAAAAGAAATATGCATTCACATATATTATATTCCTTCTTGCACCACAATTTGTTTTTTTACTATGATTTCACAATATATTGAAAAACTGACATTTGCTCAGATATAATTGTCATTCTTATTTATACAAATCAAATCATCTTTACTGAACTATTTACATATTGTTACTTATCTCATTCTTGCACCAGGCTCTTCAATTGCATTATGTCAATTTACAGTTAGCAACACAGTTAGGAACCAAAATGTTTGGGGTCGGTAGAAGGTCCGCCCATCACTGTGACGTCAATACTTAGGTTGTCTATTAGAATTTCTTCACGCTATAATTAGGGTTTCAAAACAAAACTGACCTATCCCAACATTCTTCACGCTTTAATTGGAGTTGCAAAAGAAAACTACCTGTCTTAACATTCCTTCNGGTATAGCCATGCGTCTGAAAACTTTATTAGTTCTAAGAGTCTTCAGAGATTTAATACAAAAAAATAAATAATAAAATTGGTATAACCGGCGTCCATTGATATTTTGTATTGGCGCGTGTATTGGAAGGTTAAACTATTATATATTTTTTAGTTGATTAAATCATAATTATTCTTTACTCAATAATTAAGGTTAAATCGTTTTTTCTAACTAATTATTTAAACGAACGATGAAAATCCGGGTAAAGGCGCTCGAGATCGTGCCATATTATTCATTATAATTTGACCACCGTTCAAACTTACAACTGCACTTCCTTCCGGTTCGGAATCCGTGTAACTGGAATAATTACGAACCGGTTTTTGACGCTTCCATGACTGTCGAAGCGTATCATTAACGTTCGCGTAATGATTTACAAATGAGTGAGGATCTGATCGGACGCTTTCATTTTCACTTTCAGAGCCCTAAAAAACACATTCAAAATGAATACATTTTGTAAATGGAAATCAAGGTGCTATCATCATGCTTATGAAAATAAATTTAACTCATTCAACTTCAAACCATCTAAAATGCCAGTTATATCTAAAAGTACTTTCAAATTCTACAAAAATACGTGATTTTAAATGATAATAATGATGATGATTGTAAACAATTGTCATAACAAAGTGTTTGGGAAATTAGTATAATTAAATTTTGTTGTTGGTGCAATAAACGTTACTTACTTTGCGCTTATAACTGATATTTCAGATTGCTAAGTTCATGGAAAGAACATTTACCAAAAATTAACCTAACATTAACTAAATTATGTTAAATACAATTTATCTCATATAACACCAACTACACCCAACCCCGTTATATGTTTTTTTTACTATTTCAATACATACCGGGAATTTTATATAACTCGTAATATATGAATGCATTAACCATAGTTATGACACTACTATGCACCACATAAAATGCAACATATCTTAGTACAGGCAGTTTTGCAAAACACCTCCAAAAAGCTGAGTTGTTTAATAGCGATTTTAAGGAAAAGTCTTTAGAAGCAATAGAAAATGAAGAAGAGAGTTTTATTATACTTCAAAAAACTCACATTCCGATTCAGTGGCTTCTTCAGAGCCACTGAAACGGAGGAGGTATTCTGAGGAAGATTTTTGATATATTTTACGTGTTATTAAAAATTGTTTTGTTTATTTTGTTTGATAAAAGTGTTTCCTCGCCTTCTATTAAATAATAAAAAGGTTTGAATGTTATTTGATCCTTTCTCCAATCTCCCCCTCAATTAAATATGCATTCACATATCTCCTTCTTGCACCACAATTTGTTTTTTACTATGATTTCACAATATATTGAAAAACTGACATTTGCTCAGATATAATTGTCATTCTTATTTATACAAATCAAATCATCACTTTAAATACAAATATGAAATTAAAAAAGTTTTTTGCCTTTACTGAACTATTTACATATTGTTACTTATCTCATTCTTGCACTAGGCTCTTCAATTGCATTATGGCAATTTATCGTTAGCAACACAGTTAGGAACCAAAATGTTTGGAGTCGGTATAAGGTCCGCCCATCACTGTGACGTCAATACTTAGGTTGTCTATTAGGGTGTGTTTACGTTGGAGCTGCGATAAACGATAATAGCGACGATACTACCAAAACAACGAAATTGTTGTCATAGTTTTGTATGCAGGTGTTTATATTGGAACGAGAGCTGCGATAAACGATAAGAGCAACAATGACAGCAGCGATAAGAGCTGCGCAAAATGAATTGAAAATGATTTGTCAGAACAAATCTGTTGTGGTAATTTTTATCTTTTTGGCCCCACAAGGGGATCTAACAAAAATTTCACTAATTAAACAGTCGATATCCATGCAGACCACACCTGATAATAGCAAAGAAAATAGGAAATACAATTAGCGTCGCTCTTATCGTTAGTCGGCTGTCAAGCGTGTGACAATTCGTCGCTCCAATATAAACACTTGCATATAAAACTATGACAACAATTTCGTTGTTTTGCTAGTATCGTTTATCGCAGAACCAACGTAAACGCACCCTTAGAATTTGTTCACGCTATAATTAGGGTTTCAAAACAAAACTGACCTATCCCAACATTCTTCACGCTTTAATTGGAGTTTCTTCGCGCTTTAATTGGAGTTGCAAAAGAAAACTACCTGTCTTAACATTCCTTCACGCTATAATTAGAGGTTCAAAACAAAACTGACCTATCCCAACATTCTTCACGCTTTAATTAGGGTTTTTTCACGCTTTAATTGGAGTTGCAAAAGAAAACTACCTGTCTTAACATTCCTTCACGCTATAATTAGGGTCTCAAAACAAAACTGACCTATCCTAACATTCCTTCACGCTTTAATTGGAGTTTAAGAAGGAAACTACCTGTCTTAACATTCCTTCACGCTATAATTAGAGGATCAAAACAAAACTGACCTATCCCAACATTCTTCACGCTTTAATTGGAGTTTAAAAAGGAAACTACCTGTCTTAACATTCCTTCACGCTATAATTAGGGTTTCAAAACAAAACTGACCTATCATAACATTCCTTCACGCTTTAATTGGAGTTGCAAATTAAAACTACCGGTCTTCACATTCCTTCACGCTTTAATTGAGGTACAAAAGAAAACCGATATTCCTTCACGCTATAATTATGGTTTCAAAACAAAACTAACCTAACTTAACAGTCTTTCCCTTAACATTTCGAAAGAAAACTGACTTTGCAATATTCCCGGGAATCGCGGGTAGTTCTAGTTTTAGTTCAATAAAAATATGCAGTGTAGACTGTCACTAGAACTAACATTAGATCTACAACTATAGTAGACGCCACGAGAGCTGGCAGTAAATCATCGTTTTCCGCTCTTACAAATGCCATATGTAGTAAATTAAAATTCACAAACCGCTAGAGAATAATGTGTGTTAGAAAGAGATAGCATTAGTTTAATATGTCTGCTGTACAATTCAAATGGCCACGTCGAAAAAGTACGTCTGTTCTTCTAAGGGATGTCACTCTATAATTATAACCTCAAATCGAAACGTCTTGTGAGCGTTGTCATGAATCTGTTAGTGTTTTCACAAGCCGAAAATGTTTTCTTTGAAAGGAAAATCATTAAATAATATCTTTGACAATGTTTGACATATAACCTCCATTACTAACATAACCTACATTTAAATGTATGTGGTGAAATAATCTAAGTCGTACGTCCATATCTTGATTCATACCATTTTTAAGCGATCTGTCACTGCCAGCTCTCGTGGTTTCTACTATACAAAGTAATTAAATAGAATAAAATACCTTTTCTAGGTAAGTAAATGGCAAATAAACACCCCACAACACTTTTTATGCACC